ACGCCAGAAAATCGGTCAGGAGAAGGTGGCCGGGACCAATGCTGGGCCACCTCAGACCCCCAGCCAGCTCCAAAGGACATGGATGGCGGCACGCAGAAGGGGGTATTGGGGAGGGGGAAAGGCTTCTTAGAAGGAGGCTGCTTCTTAGAAGGCGCTGGCCTTACATCTACAGATGAAGCCCGCGCCTTCTAAGGAGCAGGGGTGCGTCTAAGAAGCCTTCCCCCCTTGCCCGCCAGCCCCCCCTGTGCGCATGGCCGACATGGATGGGGGAAGATCGGGTCGTGCGAAAGGGGGGGACAGCAAAGGGGGGGGGGTGAGAATCAGCTCGCGCAGCTGACTTGCCCGGCGCCTCCAGGCGCGGGAGGCGGCCACGTGTCGAGGAATGGGCCCCTCGGTGAGGCCGAACCCAGCTGCACGCAGCAAATTTCGTACCTCCCCCTTCCGGCCCGAGCAGAGGGAGCACGCCTCCCTGCCCCCGCGCCGCGGCACCCGGCCGCTCCGCGCCCGCGCGCGCTCCGCTCCGCCGCCGCCCTGCGCCGCCGGGGGCGCCCGTCGCGCGCTCCAGCGCCCCGCGCCGCTCCCGCAGCTGCACGCAGAACTCGTGCTCGGGGCCGAAGAGCACGCAGAGGATGCGCACGGCCTCCCGGTAGACCGGGCCGCTCTCGCTCCAGGCCTCCTCTGGGAGTCGGAGGGAGGTACCGACGATGCCCTCCCCTCGTCTCCGCCTGTGGGGGCCTCCTGGGAGGCCCTCGCCGCCACGGCTGGACTCGCCTTGGAAAGCCTGGTCAGAGCGCACCCCAAGAGAGGTCCAGGGAGTGGCCGTATCGTTATCTTTTGATTTGCCGATCCTCCAGCCGTCTTGGTGACGCGCCTGGCGGGGCGGCGACGTCGGCAGGGCTGGGCCCCAGGGAGAAGCCCCGGCGCCGGAGCTGCAAGTCCCCTAGCGCCTCCAAGGCCCAAGCCTGCATGGCGCTGCAGCCGGGCAGCGCGCGGCCCACATACTCGGCGCTGCGCTGTGCCAGCGGCAACGCCAATGCGGCGCGCCCTGCGACCTCGTGGCACGCGACCAGCTGTCGGTCGAGGCGATCCCGCAGCCAGTGCCCTGGCGCCAACAGCTGCGCCACACCAGCCTCCAGCTTCCCAGCCCCGGCGGCGTCAAAGTACTCGTCGGGCGGCGCGCGGACGGCCTTGTGCTCCCACTCGCGAACGAGGTCGCTCAAGCGCGCCTCCTGCGCAACTAGCTGACCGGCCTGCTCCCGTGTGGCCAGGAAACCGCAAGCGCGGCATGCGCCTTCGGGGCCTGCGAGCCCGTCCGCGTCCAGAAAGATTTCGCCCTGCTTGCAAGCTGGGCACACGAAGGCACGGGCCTGGTCCACTGGCTCGGAGCATGTCTCGCAACGGCACAAGAAATGCTTCGTCGCTTCCAGCTGCGCCCGCCGGCTGGCGGTGGACTCGAGCAGCGCCTCTTCCGCCAAATACGAGACCGTCACCTCGGCGCCCTCGGCGATGTTCTCCCTTGCTCGCAACAAAAAATCCTCGCCCTCGTAGTGCCACATGCAATTCGGCCTGCAGCTGTGCGACACGAAGGAGGGCAGGAAGAAGGTGCTGAATCCAAGGGGCTCCTCGGTGTGCTCGAAGCAATTCAGCAGCCACACAGCGAGGAGCTCTTCCAGCTTCTCGGCCATCGCGACCCGCTCCGCGGGCCCGCCCTGTGGCCACAGCTCCTCCACCAGGGCGGACACCTCCGACGAGGCCACGGCGCTGGCGGCGGGCCGGCAGAGAAGCAGCAGCTGCCTCTGCTGCTCCTCGGTGGCCCGGGGGAAGGGCCGCAGGCAGCCTGGCAGCTCGCCGCCGGTGAGGGAGCGCAGCGCGGCCCAGTACCACAGGGGCGGGTGCGCGAAGCGGAGCCGGCGAGCCAGCCCCTCCAGCCACAGGTACGTCTCGTCCTCGCGGGCCTCCGCGGCGACGAGCAGCGGCGGCTCCAGGAGCAGGCGCGCGCCCTGCTCGAAGGGGCGGGCCGCCAACAGCACCCGCCCCTTGGCGGGGTCGGTGTCGCACCGCAGCGCGCCGCCGCCGTGGCTCCGGCAGTAGCTGTTGACGTAGAAGACGCTGCGCCAGTCGGCCTGCATGGCGCCTCGCGGCGCCATGAGAGCGGGCCCACGGCGCGGCAGGCTGCGCGCCCTCCCCGGAGCCGAAACGAGACAGCCACGGCCTCACGAGCAACGCCCACGACCACACCTGAAAGCTGGTTGAACGTTACCTGTGGTACGGCTCAACGGCAAAAAACGCATTCGATAGCAAAGGAATGGAGATGCTATCATTGACTGAGAGAGGCGGCCAAACATTACGCTAAGCACCGTCGTCAAAGTCAAGCCTGGCTACGGCGACAGCAATGCATGCTCACATCAATTGCGATATATTGACACACACACACACCGCACGCTGAATGAATTATCATAGCTGCTCTGTTACCGCAAGACGTTCACATGATCAGAAAACGAGCAAACGATGGGAGCCGACGCAGCACAATTCAATAATCGACCGATAAGACCACCCTCCGGGTGATAAGGAGGTTGGGGACATGGGGACATCCTTCTGCGATTTGCGTCGGAGCGGATTCGCGATAGACCTATCTGATCTGGATATCTCTCTACATCGATCTCCCTATCCACGAGAGAGCGCATTTCACGGGCGTTTGGGGGCGAAACATGTCTCAGCACGTCGAAGACTGCCCCCCAAAGAAATCCCAAGCAACTGTCGAACGTGACCTCCCGCCCCCTTCACACAGAACCCGCCGTCTCCACGGCCTCCACCAGCATCCCAAGCACACAGCGAACCAGACCTCCCAACCCCCTTCACAAGAATGCCCCCTTCCTACAAGCAACCCCCCCCTTGCGCAAAAGGGAGAAAAAGGTCAACCCGCATGCCACTGATACCAATTCCAACCGACTGGGCCAATTCTCATCCAGCCGAAAAGCCGACCAATACTAATTACAACCCGCCGTATGAAGCCGTATGATAGGATTCTGAGTGCGGGGCGTTTCAACCCGATCCAGAAATCAAGTGAAACTCTTAAATGTAAAACGTTGTCTGGGGAATCGGCATGATTGCCAGAGTTGGATTGGTACAACTTTACTTCGTTCCATGTGGGGTCTATGGAGTTTTCAAACGAACAACGACCAATTGTCAAACTGGAGCTCTATGGCGATCGCGGGAAAACTTTACAGTTTTCACGCGGCACCTGTATAGTGCTTCGTACGATCTCATTAAACATAATATTGTATTACTTCAATATGATTGACGTGTAGGTTTCGTGTGCGAACTGTATAATAAGCAACTGTGACATGTAGGTGCGCATCAACATAACTATACAAGCATGCATACTTCCAAAATAAATTATTGGTATACTGCCCGTATGATAAATGCAACCTGGGAGTTGCATCGGTTTCATCGTACAACTTTCACATGGGAACTGTTAGTTGACACATGATATTTCGAAGGTTTTCACCCTTTGGTGTCAGAGCAACGTAATTTGCACATGACATTTGCAATGTATCATACGAGTATGGTGTAGTTTCCAACTGGGGGCTGTCAGTGCGTCATTGGAGAACTGTCTCCGGTTGTTGCTGTGATAAATACGCAGCGTCCGTGAGGGAGTTGGTCGGTTTCCGATGATAGCTGCAACATTTAAACATGAGAAGCGTACAGTTTGCAATCCAGAAGCACGCAAGTGCTTACTTAAAGCCAGCTGGCCCCTTTGTGGGGGCATCAGGCTGCGGGGCTGAAGCTTCCTGCAACCAGTTCCAATTCCAGTTTCCAGTCTCCAGTGCTACGAATTAAATATTATACTTCCAACTGTGAATTGTTACTGGCGCGAGAGGGGGAGCCGAACATCGGCCTGCCCACCACGCCTGAATCGAGTGCTCTAAGGTTTCTGGTGGGCCCTGGGACTACCGACCCTGTCGGCGTGTGCGAGAAGCTGCTTCGTTTGACTCGCCGTCGTCGTCGTCGCGGTTGTCGTCGTCGTCGCCGTCGCCTCTCCCGCTTTCCCTGGGCCTTCCTCCTCAAGCGCGCCAGCCAAAGCGGAACAGCCTAAACGAAATTGAGTAACGTCGTAACTGAGGCGAAAAGACATCCTTTCCGTAGAATCCCTTCCCCTCTGGGGAAGGGTAGGGGGGGTCCCACGGGGCCGTCCTGGGTCAGAGAATACGATCCCCCCAAAGGGTCACCGAACCCAAAAGGCTCCCCAGAAGCCCCCCAGAGGCTCCCACGAGGCCCCCGGGCGCCCCCAAAGAACCGCCAGGAAACCCCACGAGGCCCCCAAAAGGCTCTCAAGATACCCGCAACACTTCCCCCCATAGGCCCCCGAGAGCGCTCCAAAGAGACATCAAGAAACATCTGGGCCATCCTCCTCAAGCGGGCCAACCAAAACAAAACAGCCAAAGCGAAATTAAGGACTGTCGTAGTTGAGTCGAACGGAAGTCCTTTACCCAAGATCCCTTCCCCGCCTGGGGGGGCCCTGGAGGGGTAAGGCTGGGGGGGGTCCCGGGTCAGAATACCACTTCCCCCCAAGGGGGCCCAGGGACCAAAAAGCCCGCCAGAGGCCCCAACGAGGCCCACAGACTCCCCCAAGAAACCGCCAGGAAGTTCCACGAGGCTCCCAAAAAGGCCCCCGAATCACCGCCAAAACTTCGCGGGGGTTCTTGTGCATCTCTCGGGGGCCTCGTGTAGCCTCCGGGGCACGATTGGAAGCGTCTCATCCTGACCTTGTCGAATGCCTTTTCCGTCGTGGGGGTCGTCGTCCAGTGTCGGCGGCACTGGCCGTAAGGCCTTAGCAATATTTGAAATTCGCGCCCACGAAGAAATAATCGATCGCAAATTACGCCGGATTTTGGCCCCAGAAACCAGAACCTCTCGTAAGCTGCGCCAGGCTTGCGCTCCCGAAGCCAGAATGCCTTGCAAATTACTCCAGGCCCGCGCTCCCGAAGCCAGAGCCACTAGCACATTGCACCACATTCACGTTCCCGATGGCAGAATCTGTCGCAAACTGCACCAGCTTCGCGCTTCCGTAATCATGCAAGAACCTATTGGCACACATGAGCTGTAGAACAAATCATATCAATCCAACCTCTCTCATAGTCTCATCTGTTCAGCGACTGTGCTGAAATTTGCCGAGGGAGATTTACACCCCCTCTCGGGCGCTGCGTGCGGCAGGCGGGAGCCTGGCACCTACGCCACATCGACGACCAAATAGTCTTCGCAATTCACGTCGTCACGCTCGTCGATCTCGGGCTGATCGAACCTCTCGTTCAGCCAGCCGGCAGTAATGAGCTCAAACAAAGGGGCCCACTCGCACGGCGATCGAAGCTCCGCGAGCGACCGAAACAGCATTTTCCGCAACCAAAAGTAAATTCAGTCCTGCGTCGTCGTGACAACTGCAATGTGCACAGGGTCCGTGGCCACTCTCAAGTCATCACCTACTGTCGGCCTGCCCAGCTGGCAAATTTTGAAGGCACTCCAACTCTCGATGCAAACTCCTATCGGCCACGACGGTCACAAAGCACATCATATCGTTAATGCCGTCTAATACATGACTGGTCCAGGGGCTTGTGAGTATATCTGGTGGATTAAAATGTCCTGGCCTGGCAACTATCTTCTTCAGCTTCACCTGGTCCTGGAGCCATGGGAATCTGGCTCCTGGGTGACAAACCACGCCCCAGCCCTGGTTATTGGCAAAGCCTTCGGCTGCAACGTTATCGCTGCGCAAATCGATCGGCGCCGAGGTCAGCTTGATCAGCCCCGTCGAACGAACTCCGAAGTCGTGGAGCATGGACTGCAAGCCGAGATCATGGGTTGCTCCCTTGAGCATAGCGCTATATTCGCTCTCTCACTCGAGAGAGCAACAGGTGTCTGATTCGTCGAAGAAGGTTTGGCCAGGTGGGATCCCATCATGAACATCATGCCAACTTGAGACTGTCGAGTCGCGGCTTCCTTCCCCCGCTCGGGCAGCATCCACAGCGCAGTCTGTCTTGTCCGACAGCGGCTGCAGCTTGCGCCTCAGGCTTCCAGCTCGAGCACGATTGAAATAGCGGCCCAACCTTCTCAGGTCCACCATGTCTGCCTGGTCCCTGTCCGCCAGACCTCTCGTGCTTCCCGCTGCCGTGGCCGCTCTGGCAGAGCGAAAACACGCCCGCGCGGTCCTTCTTGGGCTTTGTCTTGCATGCGCCCTGCGACCGCCGGGAGTTTAGAAAGCTCCTGGTATTCTTCATCATCTCGTCAATCTCGTCCAGCTTGGTCTTGTCCACGGCGAGGTGCAACTCCAGGCCCTCGGGGTCCGTCGTCTCCAGCGCGGCAATCTTCGCATCGTCATTGACCTCCTTGTCATGGCCATCGGACCTCTTCGTCTTGCACCTCCGCACGGGATCCCCAAGCTCTTCTGGATTGGCGCGCAACTCGTTCATGCAGGAGCGCGGCGGTTTCATGATCTGCTTCAGCGAGACTCTCCTTTTTCCACCTGGCAGTGGGCCCCCATCTCCGAATTAGTTTTCTCATGGGCTCCGGTCCGTCTCCTTTCTGAATGTTGGGAACGATCGAAAAGCTCTCGCCCTCCGCGAGTGTCTCCAGGGCAACGTGCAGCTGGCTGATCTTCCCCATCAGATCTGGCGCGATGCCATTCTTACCCGCGTCGGGGCCGAACTCGATCTCCAGCGACTCCATGGTGATCGGCGCCGGGTGCTGGGCCTGATCTTCGGTCCGCTCCAGAGCACCTCTGAAGGGCGCCCTAAAACCGCAATCAAGTTCGCGCGCGCCTTGCGATACTAATCCACAAACTTGGTCTCGCCATTCCTGAGGACACGCGGCTTGCCCAAGCCTTACGTATCCACCGATGAGATCGAGCCCGTCGTCTTATTCTCCTTCTCGGCCGTAGCGTCTGCCAACTTCTGCGCTGCACCTCCCAGCTGCTGCGCCGGCCGCGGTAGGTACCCTTGGACCCGCAACTGGCGCTGAACTTCCTGTTGCGCTGCTGCTGCTGAGTCTGCTGCGTGGCCTTCTGTCGAGTCAACTGCTAAACCTGTCTCTGCGGCTCAGCAAAGGCGAGCCTGTCCTGCTCGATCATGCTCGATGCAATTCAGATGCTGGCCGAGGTGGCTCCAAAGCATCTTCAGCCTCTGCGCCCGCCAGCGCGACAAAAGCAGCCGCCTCCGCGCCAGGACTGCTCCACTCCGGCACCTTCCTGTCGGCGCTCCAGCCTCGTGGCCGATGGGGCGCAACTCCGCCTCCGGCAGAGCGGTCGCCGCGCCCGTGACCGAGCCTCGGCCGCTCGGCGCCCCGCTCGAATCGCGGCGCTGGCCGCGCGGGCGCTCGAAAGCGGACGCAAGCAGGGGGCCGCGCTCCACTGCCGCGCTGGAGCCTTGTGACACAGACGAACCGCGGCGCAAATCATGTCACTTCAATCTCTCATAATCTCAACTGCTTGAAGGCTGCGCTGACATGTGCCGAAGTAGATTGAGTCATCAGAGTCCCTTGTAAGCGAATCCGAAGTCGCACTCCCGAAACATACGTAATCCCACGCAGAGCACGCCAAGGCCAGAAACCTCTAACGACGCATTCGCGCCCTCGAAATCAGATTCCCTCGACAATTCCAACATTTCAAAGTGCTTGCTCAATGCCGACCACCAACGCATGCCCCGAAAAGTTTTCAAATCAGCAACGACACGCCCCAGCACTACTTCCTCTGACTCTTCCCTTTATACCTCGAAGGAACTCCTGCTAAGTTCACATCATCCCCACCCGCGGCGCGCGAGGCGGTCAGGCCCCACCGCGCCCCCAGGGGCCATTTCCTAGGCGCGCGCCGGGCGTGTCCCAGCAGGGCTCTCGCTCGAGACATCCTCGCGAAGTCGACCCCCGGCGCGCGAGGCCAGGCCGCGCCGCGCCCCCAGGGGCCACTTCCGCGGCGCGCGCTGGGTCGCGCCCGACGTGTCCCAGCAGGGCTCTCGCTCGAGACATCCTCGCAAAGTCGACCCCCGGCGCGGGAGGCAGGCCCCAGGGGTCACTTCCGGGGCGCGCGCCAGGCGTGCCCCAGCAGGGCTCTCGCTCGAGACATACTCGCAAAATCGACCCCTGGCGCGCGAGGAGGTCACCGCGCCCCCAAGAACCATTCTCTGGGCGCGCGCCGGGGCGCGCCAGGTGTGTCTCAGCAGGGCTCTCACGCGAGACATCCTCGCAAAGTCGACTCCCGGCGCGCGAGAAAATCAGGCCCCGCCCGCGCCCGGGGCGCGCGCTGAGGCGCGCCGGGCGTGTCTCAGGGCTCTCGCTCGATACGTCCTTGCGGAGTCGACCCCCGGCGCGCGAGGAGGTCAGGCCCCGCGCGCGCCATTTCTGGGGCGCGCGCCGGGGCGCCCCGGGCGCGGCCCAGCCTGGGGCTCTCGGAGGAGGACGACGACGACGACGACGACGACGACGACGACGACGACGTCGACAAGGAGATGAGGACGAGGAGGAGGAGGAGGGGGAGAAGGAAAATGAGGAGGAGGAATAAGAGGAGGAAGAGGAGGAGGAGGAGGAGGAGGAGGAGGAGGAGGAGCAGGAAAAGGAGGAGGAGGGGGAAGAGGACGACGACCAGGAGGAGGAGGAGGAGGAGGAGGAGAAGGAGTAGGAGGATGGAGTTCGTCAGAGCTGCAGCGCATTTCCCCCCATGTACACGTTCGCAGCCGGCAGGCTCTGGGTCTCGCTCGAGACACCCTCGCAAAGCGCGCGAAAAGGTCAGGCCCCACCACGACCCCATGGGGGGCCATTTCCAAGACGCGCGCTGGGTCGCGCCGGGCGCGTTCCACAAGGGCTCTCGCTCGAGACATCCTCGCAAAGTCGACCCCCGGCGCGCGAGGAGGGATCGGGCCCCGCCGCGCCCCCAGGGGCCATTTCCGGGGCGCGCGCCGGGGCGCGCCGGGCGCGTTCCACAAAAGCTCTCGCTCGAGACATCATCGCAAAGTGCGCGAGGAAGTCGGGCCCCTCGCCTTCCTGCTCCACGCTCGCCTGATCCTCGCCCGCGTCGCCCTCGCTCTCAGGATCCCCCTCCCCGCGAACCTCGCCCTCCTGATCAGTGCGCTCTTTCTCCTCTCGATCAGTCTACTCTCGCTCAGAAGCGCGCGCCACTTCTCCTGCGCGCAGAAACACCCGATCAACCGCAGAGCGGCTGGCGAGCACAAGGGGGGCCGGCAGCAGAGGGCGAAGCCATCGCGGAGAATTGGTTAGGCTTCACTTGAAAGCAATGGATATATGACACTGTTATCGCAGTCGCGTGAGACTTGATGGTGTTCGCATCAAAACGGTCACGCCTTCATGGGAGACATGCACTGACGCCGCGCGAGATCTGCATGCCTTCTGTGCGAAACATTACATCTGTTTCGCGGGAGTTGCAAGCTGATCAAAATATAATGGTAAATCTGCCACTTGGGAGCAGGTCGGTCTTCGCATGAGAACTGTCTATTATGCGAGCGGGAGCTGCGTTGCTGGCGCGCCGAAAGTGCCTGGCTCCGACGCGGGCGGTCTGCTTCTCGGCCCCCCCCCCGCCGCCCCTTGAGGGCTCTGGCGTTGAAAAGCTCCTGGCTGGCTTCGCGCAGGTTCAAGGAGGTGCCCAGGCGCGACCAGGGCAACGGCTCGTCGTCGACCTGGAGCTTTCGGGGCGCCGCGAAGACCCCGTGCCGGACAGCGCTCCAGAACGTGACGCGCGCGGCGCCCCAGTGCGACGCCAACGCGGAGCGGGCGGGCTCGCAGGGCTTGCTTAAAGGGCAGGAACGACGCCTTGTTAGTCAGGCGCAGGGCCACGTGGAAGTGGCGCGGCTCCCCGAGGAACGAGATTCGCCAGTCGCGCGCGTTTCCACCGCGCGACTGTCTGCTCTGGAGTGTCCTCCCATACGTTGTGCAATGTTCCCCGGCGTGCGCTCGGCGACGTGCCGACGTCCTCCATCCTGGCGATCTCCCATCTGGCGAGGACGCCGTCGGTGCGCTCGTTCGGCTGCGCGCGAAAGTCCATCAGCTCGAGACCTTGTCGGAGTTGCTTCTCTTCCTCCAAGCTCTGGGCCAGATTGCGCCGGAGATGCATGACTGGGTCGGCGCGGGCTCCGTTGACCCCCGCGCCGACATGGACGGCGGCTGGAGGCATCCGCATTGCCAGTGTTCGGGCGAGGCCTTGAAGTCCACGCTGCAGGGCTGCCGCCTATTGAGACGGAGGCATTCGTCCTGAGTGGACATTTAGCGTGGACCTCGCGGATCCACGCTCTGCATGCTACTGACCCAGCAGGGTCCCAGGTAGGATCTCGCGTTTGACCTCACTCTCGCTCGCGGCTCACATGACCGACGATAGCCCCAACAGCCACCGCGAGCAGGCCATGCGCCAACAGTCCTGGGGAATGCATTTGTGGAGGAAGGCAGAGGCGGATGAAGTCGTTCTGGAAGTAGTGATGGTGCTGGCCATGCTACCACGAGCGGCTGGAAACAAAGAAAGGTTCGCGAGCCGGCGATCCTGCAAGTCGGAGCCGAATGGGTCGTTCGCGTCTCCACGAGCCAAGGTGGATGACATTGTAGTTAATGAAAAAGTGGTGGAGGTCGCAGGGTGTCGCAATGGCGGTCGAAGGTCCTCGCGCGCTCGACGTAGACGGAGAAGTGGAAGTAAATGACGTCGTAATTGCGGTCGAGGTTCCTTGCGCGCTCGGCGTAGGCTAAGAGGCGGGAGTAGATGGCGTGGTAGTTGCGGTCGAGGTTCCTCGCGCGCTTGTAGTGGTTGAACAGAGGAAGGCATTCATCTTGTCGGTCGAGTCTCCTCGCATGTCGGAAGAGCACGAGGTCGGGGGAGCGAGCGCAGTGGTAGCGCTGGGGTATGTGCCCACATGGCGGTCGAACTCGAAGTTGACCACGTTGCTCTTACTGTCAACGTTCCGCGGGTACTCGCCACTGTGCAAGTCGTATGCCAGGGCGGTGGTGAACAGAGCTGCTGCGGCTACAGCAGCTCCACTACCAAGTCTGAAAGAAGCGTTCCAGGCCAGAACTGTATAACACCAAATACATGGTACGGTGGCGGAGTGGAACGGGATGGTAGGAGATGGCGATGGGTAGAGACAGTCGCCCTCTGTCTCTCCCAGCGCCTCAAATCGAGCACCGGCAACGCCGCCGGTACTGGCAGATTGGGCGGCGCTGCCTTGAGCCAAGACGGCAGCGGAATCAGGCAAACTTATAAACCTCCCTTGAGACAGACCCTCAAAATCAAAGACGCGGGCCCCGAGACTCCACAAGGTCACTCGAAGACGCCCAAAAGTCGCCCCAAAACGCCGAGGGTGGCCCGCAGACGGCCCAACAGAACTCGAAGACGTCCTAAGAAGTCTCCACGAGTCCTCTCTAGAGCCGTTCGGAGGAGTCATGGGACCTGCTGGGCGACGTATTGGGGCGAAACTCTTGAATTGTGGGTTCGTGTTTGCCTCTCTTGGACTTTTCTGGGGCCCGTCTTGGCGCTATCCTGGGCCGCCTTGGTCCTCTTGGGCCGCTTTGGGGCCGTCTTGGCCGGTCTTGGGAGCCTTTTGATGGCCCCTTGGGCCGTCTTGGAGCGGTATTGTGCGCCTCTGGTGCTGTCTTGCAACGTGGGAAGCTCGGAAAGACGATGACTTGAAACAAATCGAAAGCACAATGCAAATCAATGATGTTTGCATCGTGGGGCCCTCGTGAGAGCCCTCTTGGGGGCCTCGTGGTCCGTTTTGGTGCGGTCTTGGGGTCTTTTGGGGGCCATCTTGGGCGTTTTGGAGCGTTCTTGCGGTGTCTTCGAGGCCTCTTGGACCGCTCTTGGAGCTCTCTTGGCGACTTCTGAGGGCGTCTTCAGCCACGCGGCGCGATCCCAGCGCGCTCCCGGGGCCAAGAGCCCCCATGACGCGTCGACGGGCCGCCCTGGGAGCCACCAGCCCTGTCCCCCGGCCGATATATACGTATATATATATATACGTATATATATATATATATATATATATATACATATATGCTCGACCCCCCCCCACATGATCATACACATGCTCCCTTGATCCCTCCAGTCGTTCATCCCCCTTCCTCCTCCTGCTCTTCTTGATTATGTTTTGCTACGTTGTCAGACGCAACCCAGTCGATTGCATTCCAAGCGCTTGCGGCTTCAATCGTTGGCAACGCATTACAATCCAATCGGCTGCGATGCAGTTGATCATTAAGAATCGTTTTATAGAGGTTCTTCTCCCTCTCCCTCCTCCTCCTCCTGATCCTCCTCATCCACCTCATATTCCTCCTTCTCTTCCTTTCATCCACCTAAGTCTCCTTCTGTGAAGGGTTTCAACGCGAATCCTTCTGTTGATAATTTCAATAGGAATCATTATATGGCGAATTGTGTTGTAGCGGGAGGTTCCTCGC